ACTTTTTTGAAATTATAATAATTACAAATTATAATTGTGAAATTATAAATTAGAACCCTGCATTCATAAAACATTGATCTCACAATTGCTAAGAGTTTGAGGCAAAAAAAAAATGTGAAATTCTCTTTCATAGGCTTAAATTAAATTTCTGTTTCTAAATTGAATTTTTGACTCCCACAGTCAGAGGATTAAATGTTGGAGTAAGTTGTCAGGGGAGATGATGGATTCTCTGTCTAGAATAGTAAACTATTTCTTGGGTTAGGTTCCTATGCTGAGATGGGAAGATTGTCTCTCTGGCCCTCTCCAATGTCCAATGTTGTATCTGTTTCCAGGCAGAGGGGCCAGTAAACTTTCCTACATCACTCAGAAATTTTCTTATTACTCTGTAGTTTTTCTGACAAGTGGGTGTCTGATGATAAACACTCATTTTAATTAGGAAACAGTTACACATTACCACAAGAATAAAAGGGATGTTTTCCTTACCATCCTTACTTATTAAAATCTCCCCTTTCCACCAGAAAAAAAAAGGGCCTCAGAACTTGCAATTATAAAGTTTTTGTGGACTAATAATTAGAACTGTTGTTTTATATTTTCATGCTAGGTAATTTCTTATGCAACATGTTAAGTATTTTCATGATTAAACTCATTTAATGCCAACAAACATATAAGGTAGTGCTAACAGTGGTAGAACTGGGATTTGAACCCAGGCGACCTGCCTCCACATCTCATCTACATGCTGCTTTGTATGAGACAAGCTTTCACTAAAAGATGGTGTTTAAAACGTGGCAGTATAAAGTCAGTTTTCTGAACCTTTTTAAGAGTTTAAAAAAAAAATTAGTAGGGATGATTTCACTGATTTTTCAAACTCAAAGTCCTAAGTCTTATGATTCTTTTTTAAAACCCACAGTAGTCATTATATTGCTAAACACAGTAGGATATTTTAGGAGTTTGGTAACTATTTGAATGTTGAATATTTTAATACAGAGAAGTATTTTCTGGAAGAAATAAAAACATATCCATCATTTTAAAATTGTTAATGTAACCATTTTACTATCTGTGAAACTATTCTAAGTCAATTATTAACTGCAACCTGAACCATTGCATTTATTTTTTCCAGACATGCTGTTTTGTGTTATAAGCATGTTTTCTGCCATATTTTACTATGTTGTGATTCATGTTAGAAATGAAGTACATTTTTTTTTTCAGGTAATGCATTTCGTGTAATCCTCTGTATGTGATCTTAAGGAAGTTACCACTTCTCAATCTTAGTTTGAAAACTGGTAAAATGACAACACTAATTTCAAATAAGTAACACAAATATTTTTATAATTTCCAAGTTATCTATTTAATTAGAGAACAGTTGTAAGGATTGGCATTAATATTACATGTAAACATTTTCATGTTGACTGGCACTAGTAGATACTCTGATAAATATTATTCCTACTACCTGCCATTCAGTACTGGCATTTGAAAATTTTAAGAATGGTCTATAACACACCATGGAAATGGTTTATCTATTGTTACAGCTCTAAGAACTACTAGATATTATTTGGGTTGGTTTACCCAAATCTAACACTAGAGAAATCTTGGTTTTATTTTACTTACTTTTAAAATTATTATTCTTGTTCTTTCTATTTTGTAGCAAAGAGGTCTCCCTATGTTACCCAGGCTGATCTTCAATTCCTGGGTTCAAGTGATCTTCCCTCCTCAGCCTCCCAAAGCAATGGGGTTATAGGCATGAGCCACTTCATCTGGCCAACACCATGGGTTTAGCAGAATCCACTGGGGGCAAACCTTATAAGTGGGCTAATTTCATTCAGAAATGCAGCCTTGTGTTCTACACAGCAGTATCAGTTTCTAGAAAGAAAGATATTAATCCTGGAATGTGTAAGTACATGTGATTTTTAAAATCAGTCTTTGAATTAACTTATAAAACAAATTGACTCTATGAATAGATTTCCCTCCCTCTTTTGGTTACCTAGAAATGTTATACTAGAGCTTATTCAATATTTAACTAGTAGTCTTTAACCTAAAGTTCCAGGTGGAAAAATGAATTATGAGTCAAAAAGACTTAATTATATTTAATCTCTGCCAATAACTTAATATGCCTGTGTAAAGAAGTTGCTTAATTTCCCTGGGCCTAAATTTCCTCACATATGACGGGAAAGATTTTTATCATTCTTGAAAATAAACTTGTCACCTTAAAAGTCTATTACTCTTTATAGAATAGAACTTTTATTATAGGAAAATGTCAGGACACCTGCTAGCAACCCTATTGTCAATTAAAGGATAATGCCAAATGATTGTATGGCAGGCAAAGTTAGGAATGTAGATAGTAATTGTATGGTAGACAGAGTTAGGGATGGATGGATGGATGGATGAATGGATGGATGGGTGGATGGATGGATGGATGGATGGATGGTTGGATGGATGGATGGATGGATGGAGAAATAGGTTGGAAATTTATAGAGACAGAGAAAGAGAAGTCAAACAGAAAGACCATATGTGTTGAGAAGATCATATTTTGCCATAGGTAGTCTTGGTTTCCAATTCTGACTTTCAATGGGGACTCAGACATATTATTTTATCTGCCTGAGTTTCAAGCTTCTATTTTATATAATGGAGGGCTTATCTCCCATGACATTATTCTGAAAATTGGAGAAAATATATTTAGAGCAACTAGCATGATTCTGGCCTAGCATGTCTGTATTACTTTCAAATAAACCAAGCTGTTTCTATTCTTAAGCATTCTATTCTTTTTCTTTTGCAGTAAAATAAAAAGAAAAAACTGCAATGTAAGGTAGATATTTAAAAGCTGGTTAATGCTAATTGCAATTTATTTTTCAGCAGCCAATTAAATGTTACATGAACTAAAGCAGCGAACGTTGGGTACTTGGAACAGGGTTCTCCCCTGGACAGCAGCCACAGCTGGTATTCCATAGTGAAAATTCCAATTCCAGCTCAATTTGATTACATCAATTATCCGTGAAAGTGGCATAGAAATTATAAAATGTATGTTTTAATGAAGTAGATTAGGCATGTGCACTATCGTGGTGAGAATTAGCAGGATAATTCATACTTAAATGTTGCGCTTTTGATTTTTTAATGAGGAAAACACTTGTCATTAGCTTCATGCAGTAAGTTTTTCTAAAGGTTTCTACTTGATAAGAACTCTTCCACGAGCTCTTCCACGAGCTGCAGAATTTAAGTCTTGTTTCATTTATTTGAGGGTTTTTCAGTTTGTGATCTCAGTATCACCTGCAGCAGGATCTCTCAGGATTCTTGTTGGAAATGCCCCAGCCAGACACTGAACCAGGTTCTTATGGAAGTGTGCCCCCAAGCAATTGAAATTAAAAAAAAAAAAAAAAAAAAAGAAAAACTTGAAGATTTTTTTTATGCACAGTCATTTAAGGAAGCATGCAGAATGTCGGCACAACATAGAGGGAAGATCTTTATACCAAGAATCAAAGATCACGGATTACTTTTGTGATTCTGTAAATACCAGCAGGCCCTCTTGGAGTAGCATGAGCATCTAACACCATGCCAACCAGGACCCTTAAGATAGGAATCATTAAACTACTTCAAATGCAACAAACAGAAATTTCCAGGTAATCCAAAATATATGATTGCTAAATTTAAATGCCTTTTTAAACTGTTAGGGCACCTTAAGTGAACTTGAACTCCAAGCTTATTTTCTGTACTGATATTTAATTTTTCTGGCAGATGAACATAGTTAACTTGTTAATATTCAACTCCTCTCTGTGGTTGAAACAATTTAAACTCCAAAGGGAAAGGAGTCAGTTCAGATTTTGATACAGAAACATTCATCCCCAGATCACAGACTCAAAGAGAGTAAGCATGTTTGGATGTGTACCTCCCACACTCACCTCCAGTGAAAGCAGAGACTCATAGTCACCAGCCATCATCCATCAATACAATATGGTTTTTTTCCCCCAAAGAAATAGAGGAACAATGACGGAAAAGGGAATTAGGCTTTGTTGGAAGCTGAAAGCACTCTACCTTAAAACAAGTATACATTAACCGGCTCTTTCTTTCTTCAAATATATGTCCTTAGTATTAACTGTAAGCCAGGTATTCTCCTAGGCGTTTGAGATACAGTAACGGAGACATGCACACTATTTTCTTTTGAGTTGGAGTTTCGCTCTTGTTACCCAGGCTGCAGTGCAGTGGCGCAATCTCGGCTCACCGCAACCTCCGCCTCCTGGGTTCAGGCAATTCTCCTGCCTCAGCCTCCTGAGTAGCTGGGATTACAGGCATGCACCACCATGCTCAGCTAATTTTTTTTGTATTTTTAGTAGAGACGGGGTTTCACCATTTTGACCAGGATGGTCTCGATCTCTTGACCTCATGATCCACCCGCCTCGGCCTCCCAAAGTGCTGGGATTACAGGCGTGAGCCGCCGTGCCCGGCCCACACTATTTTCTTGAGCATAAATTGTACTGATAATCTTTCGGTAGTCTACGCCCAACTGGTAAATTTGGCTGCCCATAAATGTCCACACTTTCCTGTTTTCCTGCCAACACTATCATTCAGGGTACCAATACAGTCAGAAAAATTTATGAGATAATATAGTATTTTATGCACACACACACATACACAGAGAGAGACGAAGACAAGGAAGGAGGAGAGCAAGAGGCTCTGTAGCTGGAGCCACTGCTGGGAGCCGGTGGTCTGATGTAAACAGAGGGCATGACGCCACCCTCGCCAGCTTCTGGACAAGCTCTCTCAAAGTGGGCACACTCTGCTGGCTGCAGTTTTGCTCTTGTCTTTCTTTCTGTGTGCAACACAGCTGAGAGTTGGAACTGGAGCACCACAGAGTGACTGTTTGGTGACCAGCATGAGGCTGAACAGCACACACTGTGCTGGCTGAGCAGAGAGAGGAAAGAAACAAGCATGGGCCTATCACCTCCTGGCTCACCATCACGTGTGGGAGATTACTACAGGCCTAACTGCCAAATTTTAAATATACACAATGACCAGCAACTTTACGGAGCATATACTGACAATCGCAGTCTACATCTACACAAAAGAAATCCAAGGATTTTACATCAATGACACTTACGTCCCATCTTCAACATAGAGTGCCATTTTTTTTCTGGGTCTCTATGTGTTTTATAATAAATGTGTGGGGAAGATTTCCAAATATCTAAAGTGGTTTGAGGTTTGAGACATTTTATTAGCCAGATGTTTCATCTCACTCTGATTCACTATTCGGAGTGAAATATATCTTCAACAATGAAAGTCTGCAGACTTACCCCTGAAGCATAAGAAAAAGGCTTTTACTTTTATACTTTGTAAAGTACACATTTTGCTTTCATTAAGGTCCTCTAAATAAGTAAAAATAATAATCACAGATTGGTAGGCTTTAATGATTCTCAACCAAGCAGATTATTCCTATAGTGTAAGCACTGATTATTTTATTAGAGAATTTACTCGTGATACTCATAGTAGGTCCATCCCCAAATATAAGACTCCAAAGGGAATCATCAGAGTTATACTGTGCTGAAATCTGGAAAAAAAGATGGGACATTTGGGCCTAGTGATGTCCAGAAGCAGAAGGTATATAATTTAGCCACATTTATAATAGAGGTAATTTTAATAACTAGAATTAAAATTACACTTTTCAGCACTTACAAAATCTAAAGTATCATTATTTCATATTCACTTTTCTATAAAATCTCCAGCATATTCTAAATAAATATTCAATAAGTAAATATGCTCTATCCAACATATACTATAATTGGGGACATACTTCCTGTGCCTAGAGCACTTAATGCCTTCAGCGTAAGCTGATCATTGACAAAATTAGAACACTGGCCACTCTTCATTAGTCATTCTGCCAAGTCTCTATAAATCACTTCATTTTTAATATAAGCATACTTTAAAATATATTAGTCAGGGTAAAATAGTGTACGGTGCTATAACAAATAATCAAACCCTGAAATCTCAGTGGTATAACAAAACAGACATTTAGCTGTTACTCACACACAAGGTCGGTGCCTCTTCCAGGTGAAAGCTCAGGGATGCAGACACAATGAGCCATCGTTTCTCCATCTCAGCAGGAAGTTTCCACGGTCACTGTGGCAGGAGAAGAAAGAAGCTAGAGAAGCCATTTACTGTTCAGTCTGAATGGGCTGTGAGTCCCATCCTTTCACAATCTATCAGCCAGAACAAATCCAATGACCCTGCTTGACTACCAAAGACCTACAAAATGCTGTTATTACCCTCCAAAACAAAGAAAGATGATTGGTAATTTCCATCCTATCCACCTTCCAAAACTGGTTTTTCTTTTATTTATCATTGTGCCAATAGAATCAATGGAATGGGACACAACTCATTCTGTGAAATAGAAGTTACCTTGAATTCAGCTTAGTGGGCACAGCATTGCACTTTGATGAGTGTCAGTTTTCCAACTGAAAGTGAGAGGTTGGGGGTTGAAAATTCCTATTGTTCCTTTCAGAGCTGAAATTCTTTGGATATGGCAAGCAGGAGTTTGGTTTACCGTCCTGCATTAAAGGGCAGTGAGGACCCATTTACTGTTGACAAGAGTCTGACAGGCAGCCTCGTACATTTTAAGTACCTGGAAGATAACCTATTTTGGCATGCGTTATGGCAGAAACTTACTTCAATATATATTGCCTTAGAGAAATTTATTCTGTTCAGGACTTCAGATCTTATTTCTGGAAATCGAATCCCTCCTCTTTGCTTTCGGCTAGAGGAAAAGTAGCACTCATCTTTCGGGAGACACTGTGTGGTAGTTTGCTGTCAATAACATCCCATAGAGCACTGGGTCTCGCAACCTACCAGTATAACAGCATGGTAGATGGCGTCTGTGATGCGTGTAGTATTGGCCTCTTCTTGGAAAGTGGAAATGGTTTTATAAAGAAAGTGCAGAAAGAAAATATTTAGAAAGAAACTAATGCAGCAGCAACTTACCTGTAATATGCCAAAGAAATAAAACATAGTAAACATGCAAAGTAATTTTTTAATGTCGTGAAGATCTGTGAAGTGCCATGCACTGTGGTAGCTCATATCATTGTCACAGATCTGCTATTTCACCTTGTTGGCATGGGCCACAGCTCCTCCAACTCCCACTTTGTCTCACTACACATATTTTCAGAATCTTGGACCAAGTGTTTTTCAGCTCTATAGAAAAAGAACCCAGACTCCTTATCAAAGGAAAGTATGATGTGCTAATCCAGCTCCAGCTTGTCCTAAAGATACAAGTAAGTTACATGAGTACATTGTTCATATGCCCATGACCAGAATGCTTGTTACAGTCTGTGAGTAAAGAACTATATAAACAATTTACAGGTGAAGAAAAATTGAGCCTGTTTGCAGAAAATGCAACACAATGTGCTTACAGCACCTGCAAGTAGAAAGCTGAAGTGCTACAGCCCCACTCCAGGCAATGCTCAGTATAGGACACTTCCTGGTGGACAGCACCTGGTGCATACCTGGTCATTTACTTTGCCTTCAAGAAGGCATGGGCAAAGGAACCATCTACAATGGACACTCATGCAGTGGCTAATAGTTTGGTAATGGGTGAAAAGGGAATTGCAAATTACTATCAGAAAATTATTAACAAGAAAGCCTGGGAAAGAAGGATAAGAATAGAACTCTCTGAATTGAAAGGAAATCTCAATATATTTGTGCCCTATGCAAATTCTTACCAAGGAGAAATTGAACAGAGGAGCAGCATAATATTCAAAAGGACCAGATGATTTTTTTTTTTTTGAAATGTAGTCTTATTCTGTCACTGAGGCTGGAGTGCAGTGGCGTGATCTCAGCTCACTGCAACCTCTGCCTCCTGTCACTGAGGCTGGAGTGCAGTGGCGTGATCTCAGCTCACTGCAACCTCTGCCTCCTTAATTCAAGTGATTCTCATGCCTCAGCCTCCCAGGTAGCTGGGATTATAGATGCCTGCCACCATGCCTCGCTAATTTTTGTATTTTTAGTAGAGATGGAGTTTCACCATGTTGGCCAGGCTGGTCTCAAACTCCTGACCTCAGGTGATCCACCCCCCTCAGCCTCCCAAAGTGCTGGGATTACAGGCGTGAGCCACCATGCCCAGCCAGATGACATATTCTTTTGACGCCAGTTTTTGTTGTTTCTGTAATAATCCCCATCCTGGCCCAATAGGATTGTTATAAAAGTGGCCATTGTGTGATGGGTAGGGAAATAACGATTCAGCAACATGGACTTCACTCACTCAGACAATCTAGTTGCAGCCAATATTGAAACCTAACATCATTAAGACACCACTGAGTCCCAATGAAACAACCTTTCCCATGGGAAGGGGTTTGGGGAGGGGTTCAGCCAGTCTCTGGAAGCAGGTTGATTATACTGGACTATTTCCATCATGAAAGGGACACATCTTTGCTTTCACTAACATAGATACTTTCTCTAAATGTGGATTTTCCTTCCCTTCTATCCATACAGTTCTGCTAAAACTGTCATCCATAAAATTACAGAATGCCTTTATCTTGATATTCCACATTGCATTGCTTCTGACCAAGGAACTAATTTTTCAGCAAATGAAATTTTAAAAATGGGGCCCAGAGCATGAAATTTTCATTGGTCTTATGTCTCCGATCAAGCACCTTGATGTCACTGGCCTGATGTATTAGTGGAATGGAATTCTAAAGACTTGGTTACCATGCTAGCTAGTGGAAACATTTTGTGAGCCTGGAACAATGCTGTCCAGGAGGTGGAGCATGCTCTAAGTCAGCAACAGCTGTATAATGCTTCCCCCATAGCCACAGTCTTTGGATCTAGTATTAAGGGGTTGAAACAGTTGAAACAAAGAGTGGCCCTTCTCTCTATTACCTCTGGTAGTCCACTAGCAACATTTTTTCCTGGGGCTCTGCTTGTCAAACAACGTTAGTTTTACTCACTAAAGTTCAGTGTAGGGGGTTGGACCCTAGAACAGCTCACAGACATCCCGCCCATTGACTTTGTTTCTGTGGACTTCACCCAGGCCTGCAGCACTTTCACTCCCCGGGATCTTTCTTCAGTTCTGAGTCCTGAACATGTGTGTGTCCAGCTCTGTGGGGAAAGCTGCCAGCTTCTCCTGCAGCTCACCCACATCACCTGGGTTGGAGATGGTGAGAAACAAATCTAAGTTCTAGTTTGTTCTAATCAGTTTTAATTCATATTAATAAGTGTCAGTGTGTGGGTTTTATTAGGCCTCACTGTATGTCCCAGCTGCCAACCTGGCTTACCCGTAACCTGTCATCTGTTACCTGTAACAGCCTTGCAGTCACATACCATGTCCATCACTTTGCATAGACTTCTTAACCAGTGCACAATCACATAACATCTAATTCCTAAAATAAATTGCTTATTGTATGTCATTCACAGAGTAATAGTTCTCTGATCGAACCCTAATAGAAGTTATAATTGGTATTTATTTTATCCTGCCAAACACTAAGGAGACAGAAGTACTACATTATTTTACTTTTCTAAGTCACATTATTTCTCATCATACGGTCTCACAATCTCAGTTGTGTATGAGCACAAAATCCACTACAAGTCTGGGGAAATAGAACTATGTGGCTCAGAAATTGGTGGAAAAACTAGTCTTTGGCTCATCATGATCTCTGTACAAGATGCCCCTCATCCAGCCCAGTGTGGGCCATTTCAGTGCAGTCTGCCCTGGGTTTCTTCAGGCATGGTTCTGAAGAACTTAAACTCTACTCTTCCATTTTAATGGATCATCTTCGATTATTCCAAAAAATAATGGATGCACCACTGCTTGGAAACAAATTGGAAACAGAGCTTTGTTCTCCTTCACTTCTAGCGTTCCCTTCACAACCAATTATTTCTTCATTTATTTTTAAAAGCAAAGCCCCAGTTTGGGTCACTTATGCCCATAATCTGTTTTAATGTGGAAGTTACATAGCCTCTTTATCCCCGCCAACAAATACATATATATATATACACATATATATCTATACAAGCACAATAATCTATACAATACATATATATATTTGAAAAACACAAACATATATATATATTTTTTTTTTCAAGACAAAAATCCTCTTAATACTGCCTTTGTAACAAGAAATGTTGTATCAAAGCCAAAGCTGATAATTTAGCAATGGAGGTCTAGAAAGCTGTCTCTCATTATTTAAGATTATTCTATGATTTAGGCAAGTTTAAAACTCAGAATCTTATTCTGCATAAATTGGTAAGTAGTTGTCTACACAGATAGGTGTTTTCTTACTCACAGGGATTAGTTCTATCAGAAGAGGCTCCTTTCTGCTTTCCTCTGTTTGATTTTTTGGGAAGAGGTAAAACTCCATTTTCAGTTTGGTTTTTAAATGGGTATGTATCACTTGCTCCCAATTTTGTTTGAGTTAATGTTAGAAGAAATATTTACCTGTTTTTCCTAGAAAAGTTTTGGAATAGGCCGAGTGCGGTGGCTCACGCCTGCAATCCCGTGCTTTGGGAGGCCCAGGCAGGCGGATCATGAGGTCAAGAGATTGAGACCATCCTGGCCAAGGTGAAACCCCATCTCTACTAAAAATACATAAATTAGCCAGGCCTGTTGGCACGCACCTGTGGTCCCAGCTACTCAGGAGGCTGAGGCAGAAGAATCGCTTGAACCCAGGAGGTGGAGGTTGCAGTGAGCCGAGATTGCACCACTGCACTCCAGCCTGGTGACAGAGCAAGGCACCCTCTCAGAAAAAAGAAAACAAAAATTTTGGAATAAAAACATATAGACATCCATAATTACAATGTACGTAAAGCACAAACTTTCTGCTTTGGGACAATGAAAAAGAATACAGTAAACAATGTAAAGTGGAATAAATTTCTTCCCATAATCAAACATTTCATTAATAATAACAATAAAAAAAAACACTGGCTGGGGGTGGTGGCTCATGCCTGTAATCCCAGCACTTTGGGAGGCTGAGGTGGGTGGATCATGAGGTCAGGAGTTTGAGAGAGGCCTGGCCAACAAAAATTAACAAGGCATGGTGGTGCATGCCTCAAATCCCAGATACTCGGGAGGCTGAGGCAGGAGAATTGCGTGAACTCAAGAGGTGGATGTTGCAGTGAGCCGAGATCATGCCACTGTACTCCAGCCTGGGCAACAGAGCAAGACTTCAAAACAAAAAAAAAGAAAAAAAAAACTACTATTGAAAATTTCACAGGGGCAACTAGAGGGCAATGAGTACTGCCAAACTGAAGCTTTGCTTTATAAGAAGCTGGAGGAAATATATGCAGGATTCTGTTCCTTTAGTTCCTCTTGAACATATGTGTACATTCTAAATCCTACAGAACATTTTAGTCCTGGGTTGTTGCAATTAATACATATGATTAAAAAGCAGCTATATATAAAACAGACATACTTAAATTGCTGCAATTAAAAGTATAAAGAACAAAGTACTATAACATTTCCAGAAAGGTACAATAATCTGTACAACTACACATGCTGGTAACAACATAGTCAAACAAATAAAGAACTTATAAAGCATATTTTAAAATATTGATTAAGATACTTCTAAACATACAATGTACTTCAATCTCTGATTATAAATATAACTATACTTTTCAGCTCTTCTTAGCTGCACAATTCTTCAAACTACTGATTTCAAAAACCCAATATTTAACATGCATTTTTAAATCACCACACCCACTCTTTTATTTAATAAATATGCAACTATTCTTGTTACTCAAGCTTTTCATATCTATTCACTAATCTATTATTAATAAGACAAATCAAAAGAAATAACCAGAGAAATCAAAAGAAACAGCAAACACAAAAATGCCACAATCTGCTTCCTGAATTTCATTGGCTGTGTAAGCATTTCACATCAGAAAATATTTCCTCCTACCTTGCACCTACCAAGAATGTATTATACCTGGCACAGTACCTGAAATGCTAGCCTGAAATAAGATTAGCATGAGAGTATTTATGGCAGCAATCCTTCTTTTTCTGTAATAATTAGGTTTCACAGTAATAACAAAGCTCAGTAAATTACACATGTCCAATGAAATATATTATCCATATGTGTAGAGGGTATAGGAAAATCCCAAAATAAGTTAATACAAAAAGAAGTGAAGTGAGTTATTTTGTCCTGCTGTTATCCTAGGCATAACATGCATTCCTTGGGGGTTGGTCACCTAGAGGCAGGCATGGATTACTGCTTTCAAGAAGAACTGAAGCAAAAATATGTGAGAGAGACCCAAGCTGGTTGTCTCCTTTAACCCCTGTCTCCTCTCATACATCAGGTGGGGAAGCAAGACGGTATGAAGGAGCCCCTTGTGACAGAACTAATTATTTTCAGACTATTACGATACAACGTATAACAATAACTGACAACAAAGTGTTCAAGGTAAGAAATGCTTTTGCTATTACCTCCTAATCAATGCACATAATTGATGTAAGGAATCAACTTATTTTTAGCAAAGGAACTAAAACAAATTAAATTTATTTCAGTTGATAGTTGGCTTTAAGACACCATCATATCTTGCAGATTTTTAAAAGGATAAATTAAAGAAAAGTACTCCCATTAGAAAATAACAGTTCTTAGACTGTCCACTGCTCTAAATTCCAGGAGTTATTCCATTTCTCAAGGTTACTTAAAAGCATGATGTATGTTGGCATGCTTAAGCTGGTAGTCATTCTGTGCTTTTATATGGCCCAACATTAAAAATTCAAATTAAAATGTAAATCCTATAATGTTAATATTGGCAATAGTCAAGAACAAGCTCTGAACATGAGATTTGATGGTATCTTAGATTGTCCTTTTAGTTTTTACTACCTGGGCTTTGCTTTGAGAATTATGAAACAGCCCTTTTCATTATTCACAGAAGTGGTCAAGTAAAACAATTACTTTAATTCAAAGGCAGGAAAAATAATGCATCTTTTTTGGGTAAAACAGGTACTTTATTTTGAAGTCTTGTTATTGTACCAGAGAAATTTTCAGGTAGAATGGCAAAAGTAAATAAGCTGTGAGGCATAGTATAAGTTAAAAGTGTGACTGTATGAAAAGCAAACGCAGGGTCAGATATAGAAGCAGGACTATAGCTATAAACTCTTACTGTAATAATCTATACACTGAACATAAATATGCAGCAGTTTTATGTCTAAGTTACTCAGCAGCCAATGCAAGACACCATAAGATAGAAGAAAATGAAGAACTTGCAACTAGCTTCAAGGCAGGGTTGAGGAGGGGACAGGACATTGAGGGGTAGGGCAGTGAGTACTCAAGGCTATTAGTGGAGGGATTCCAGCGCAGTCATGTGACAAGAGAGGCGGTCAGAGGAAACAGGATGACCAGTGAGTTCATTCTTCCACTACAAGCAGAACGAGAGGAAACTGTATATCCAAATAAGAAATGAGTTGCATGAAAATTAATTTTTGATAGTGGGACTGATTGCTACAAGAAGAGGGAATCTCCCTCAGTAAGGGCTCTCTAAATAAATTCAGAAAATAAAGTCACTAGTCTCATGGATATCACCTAAGGGTGCAGAGTTTGATTCACTTAGATTTTAGTACCTTTCATTTCTCAGTATTGTATCTTGTTCCTCTTCAGAAACAGATGACATGCAGATCATAATCAGAAAATAAGCAGGCCCTCTTTATCACTTACATGCCTTTCTGCAATGCATTTCTGAATTGTTGGGTTAATATCTCACATTTGAAAAAAAAAATCCTGCAAAGAAGATATTGATGGCCACTCACAGCTAACTTTTTAGTTATCATGATTAGGAAAAGAGGCTGGTTGTAGCCAAACTGAGAACAGTGACAGCATATAAGCTGAACCTGCTCTGGAAAGAAAGAAACAATCTATTAGTAAGCAGACAGGAATTTAAAATCACTGGCTTATATTTCCTGTGTTTTCTTGCCTACTATGCTTTTTGGAAAATTCAATTTTACTTAGTAAAATTTCACTACAAGGTAAGACCTGATGCTTTGTCCAGAGAACTCTCCCCTGCAAATAACTTTTATAAGATTTTTTGAAGGACATAGAATGTGTGATTCACCAGTATCCATTGTCTTCATTTTCTGGAGACCAGGGATTATGAGAACCACCATAAGTAGTAATTCAGGTAAGGGCTAAAGAAAATGTTAAAAAGCGCTCTCCTCAACAGTATTTAGAGTTTTGAGGTGTCTGGTGTGCTTTCTCTCCTTCTTCTGTTCTACTCTTCTCTTTACTCT